CATTAGGTCTTTGTGGAGAGGAATGAAAGCAGGGGATTCTGCCTGGACGGAACTGCAAGGGAGACCAGTCTTCAAGGAACCTGGTCTACACCAGTAAACTAAGTTAGACTATGATCCTTCCACATCTCTGTGAAGATTTCAGGGTCAGACTTGCTTGTTGGCTTTGACAATTGGCAGTGCAGTCTTAAGCAAAGTTGCACCCTTCTAAGGCCATTGACTCGGACAGACTCAGAACGGTGCAATACTTCTTAGGATGGTACTGCAAGGAACTCTGCTGTTGCTGGCGTTCAAGAGGCCATCTTAGAAGTAAAATCCAGCTAAACTGTCATTTTGCTGTACTCTGACTAGCCTGGAGGTGTCAGCCATCCCCTCCAGATTGACAGTTTGCCTGGCAATGCCAGACTTAGTAAGGTAATACAGGTAGTATCCTGGGGTGGTGGGCTGGAGGAGACATCTATTCAACCATTCACTCAGCAGGTGAAGTAAAAACAAGAGTGAACACCCTAAGGCCGTCGCCTGCTATTACACAATTTAATGCCAATCCACCCACTGCCAGTGCACAGTTTAACTCCATGAAGTTGGTTATTTCAGTTAGTTTTAAAATTTCAAAGCTTCTGTAAGCTTGGAGAAAACAAATGTTTTATTGATTTATTTATTATCATGACATGGCTAAATACAGCGTGCAGGTTTATCATCCGATTTGACAAGGATAATTTATCCATGCAAATTATACCTAAAATATGTGAAATGTGCTACAAATGCAATTTAAAAGAAGGTATTCAAAAATTAATCAAAGGGGTGTATGTGTGCCTATGCCAAAGATGTGTCTGGCCTGAAATGCCACTTAGTTTAGGACCAGCCCTGATTGATGATTTTTTCAATCATTTTATTTATTATTCATTTATTTAATTCTATTCTTTAGCCTTTACCACACCCTCAACTTAAGAGGACCTGACATACCCCTGAACAGCATATTCTGTTATACTGTGCTGTCTTCTGAATTAATTCTGCAAAGTTTAGAGTTATCAGAAATAAGAAGATTGTGCTTTGTTAACAATATATATATATATTTTTTTTTACTGAAGAAAAGGTAGCAAAATAGTTTGTCTGCTGTATGTCGGGTATAATGATTCTACAGCCAGATGAAAGATGCACAGTTTTGGCCAAATGAGACTATGTTTTCCAAGATTCATTCCTTAATAACCAACTCTATTTTCTTCCTTTACACAAACTCATTTCTGCTAGCAGCTTTTATTATCCAGAACACTACTCAGTGCCATAAAAAAGAGAGAAACAAATACATGTATTTCCTGTATAATCACTATAGCCCCACTGATTTCACACTTAGACCAACATAATCACAAGGTACATCAGCAGCATCAATACATTGAACTGACAACACATCATGTAATTTTCTTCAACACATGCTGAGCCTTGTTAAATATAAACACAGTGCCTGCATTGTGTGTTTTACATTGCAGAGTGTTATTTTATGGGGGGGTGGGAATCCTGCTGGATTTTAGACCTCAAAATGCACGCAGAGAAAAGATGGAGGCCCCAGGCCTCCTCCGCCGGGCTGGACGGGGGGCGGGGGGTTGGGGGCAAGCGGCGGACGGAGGCCCCAGGCCTCCTCCG